AAAATTGTTTAAATTGATCAAATATACAAAATTTTGACAAATGAAAAAATTGTCAAAATTTTACTTTTCGACCAGTGGTACTTTTAGTATTTTGAGTTCAAGCATAAGTCAATCACCAGGTATTAGTAATAGTAATAGCAATAATAAAAAAATAAAATAGCAAATGTAACTAATGATAATATACATGCAGATATTTCCGCAAACCCGGTTATTGTTGATAATTATAATGGTAATGGTGTATTTTATTTATTTATTCGCTCGCTCTTACTAACAAACAAAATTTTTTTTAAGTACCTCCTGTTCTTGGTTATAATGATTATAGTAATGTTATAGAAATATTAAACACATACATATATCCAATATCATATATGTAATTTTCTTAAAAAATTTTTAGGAGGTAATAATAATTGGCAACAACTGGAGCCACAGCAACTGTTTCAAGATAATAATAATATGTCGAATCTTTTGGCAATCTCAACTGATAATTATCAAACCAATGCTCAGCAACAATTAAGCCCTGTTGAGTACGAGTATGCTATGGATATGGTATTTAAGCAATTACTTAGTGATTATATTGATCCTGCGATGCAAACACCACCGCAATAACTACGACTTTCAACACCTACGGGCTAATTATATACTAAATCGATAAAAATTTTCTTTCTTATATCTATTTTTTCATATATGTACGTACATACAAATGTGTATAATTTATACATTCATAGATATTTTATTTTTTTCCCTTTTAAAATATATATATTCTAGATTTCATCTTCAAATATAAATAAATATATTATATTCTTTTTATCAAATTTCGTTTTTTTTCCTTAAAAAATTTTTCATTCTTATAATAATAAATAAAATATTTTTAAATGGATCGTGTATATAATAATAACAACGAAATTGTAAATGAAGATTAGTGGCATTTTATCTGTTATCTGTTTAAAACTACTTCATTAAATTCTTTTTCGTGTAGAATAAAAATCTAATGTGTAAAAGGAAAGAGAAATGAAAATAGAAACATATGTACAAAATATTGATGTCTTTGTATTATATTATACACAGTGTTTACCCTCTTTGAACTGCTGCAAATTAATTAATAATAATAATAATTTTTTTTGATTAATATTTAATTCCAATTTTCATGTTTAATTCACGCATGCTTTAATAAAATTTAAAGTGATTATTTATCTTTTTTAATTAAAATACACAGGTTAATAAATGAATCTAATTTGGTTT